CCAGTCTGAGCCCCACCCGGCCGCACAGAGGGAACATGGAGTACAGGAGAAAGTTGAACCATGAAGTAACCACGAGACAGCAGCACTAACTTTGGTGCACAAAGACAAAAATAATATTCCAACTTGGGAAATGAGTCTTCTGTCTACTTCTGCATTAATCAGAGTTGCAGTGTCATATGAGAAGGCATATGGTATGGGAAGGGACTACCGGGTCCCTCTGGCATCTGAAAGACTTGCTGTTTTGCAGGCATCAAAAGGTGTGACATAAATATTCTTCTCATACAACTTGCTAGTAGGTATGGGGCAAGAATCAGCCTCTGTTTTAAAAAACATTTCGTGCATGAAGTTCAAGTGAAAAGGGGACTCCTGAGAGATTTCTGAGGAGGATACTGAGGTCCCATGTGTTGCCTATGGGATGAATGACAGGGTTTCTGTGTCTTCGCTTGGGACTTAATTTTTTAAAATTAATTTAACTCATAGCCATGGTTTGGAGAAATCTGGTTTACTATACACAGATTCTGTGCTCCTTGTGTACCGTGTTTGTATCCTACACTTTGCAGTTCTCTTCAGAACAGATCACCTGTGTTAGGTACATGGGAGGCATTCAATAAAGGCATAGTTTTGCAAAGACAAGGCAACCCAAAGGAAGATTTACCTCTCTTTGCTGAAACATTTTTCAAAGAACCATGATATTCTCAGAAAAGCAGGGAGGAAAGTTTTGGTAGATTTGCTGACTAGTGTCCAAGAATACAGGAACAGCCAAGGGCAAGCTGGGTTGTGCACAGAGGGTCTGGCTTTTCCTTCTCGCCTTTGCTCTTTGTACTGTGTCTGCCCCTTGCCAAGGGTCTCCATACAGCCTTAGAAACAACCTGAAGCTCCTGCCCAGAAAAGAATTCTTTCCGCTGCCGAGGAGCGATGAAAAGGTGAGATGCTACAATACTTGGTGGAGGCTCCTGCAGCGGCTGCATGCACTCAGGGAAGTTAGTTGGCTGTCATCTATGGGGCGACAGCGATGATTTGAGCATGTTGCAGATCAACATGAGAGACGCCTTGGGCTCTGATCGCAGAGATGAGCACACGGATGGGATGAGGAAGGTGGAGGATTTCATCCCTGTGGTTACAGTTTTGTGCACTCTAGTAGAATGAACCCACTGGCTGGTTTTTCTTTTTGAGCCCCTAGGCATGAATTCCCAAGTTCTGCTGCTCAGTCTGAGATGCCTAGGATCTGGGTCATGTGGATAGCACAGAGGAAGAGCTGCAAGGCTTAGCTGCCCAGAAAGGGCGCTCCCCAGCCTTTGTGCACAGGTCAGGGCTGATGGGGTGAAGGCTCCAGGCTCCCTGCTCCCTCTGTGGGGTTCTCAGGAACAGAGTCACAATGGAAGCTACAGAAGCTACATGCAGCGTACTTCTGGGTAGCCTCACTGGGTTTCCTGTGTCTCTGGGAAAGGGATCATCATTTGCCATGCCAGTAAAAATAAGGTAGAGTACTGGTGAGGGAAAGGGTCCAAGGAAGTTTCCCCACCCTTCCCCGAGACCAAATGCAAAGTACAGTAGTAAAGTATCTTAAGTTAGCTTTCCATTGAATAAAATCGACATTCAAATAACCAAATTGTTAATATACAGCCCCCCAGTCAGAGCTAGTAATCAAAAATTATCAGCATTCCCAGAATCCCCTTTGTCTGTCTTCCTACAAAGGTAACAATTATCCATCCTCACTTCTGTCACCACAAATTCGCTTTGCTTAATTTTACTGTTTAATTAAATAGAATCATAAAATGTGTATTTTTTCAGTTTAATTTTTTAGCTCAATACTAGAAATGGGCTTCATCCCCAATGTTTTGCATGTAGCTCTAGTTCTTTTTCATTATTGTATTATATTGCATTCCATAAGTGTACTGTAGATTACTCGCTAGTCATATTTAGGTAGTTTCTAGTTTAAGGCTCTTGCAAGTGCTTCTCTTATGGATATTGCTTTATATACGTGGCAGGTACGTTCAAAAACTCCCATTGGATACCTGATACCACTGATGAACACAAACCACATATATGCTACTTTTTCCTACACATAAATATATACCATAAAGGTTAACTTATAAATTAGACACAGTAAGAGATTCAACAACTATAACAATATGCTGTAATCAAGTTATTAAAAACTTAGGATGTCTTTCTTTATTTTTCATTTGATACTTTTGAAACTTCACTATGAGTAGCTTAAATCATCGAAAGAGAAACCATACTATATCTACTTAGGAGTGGGATAATGGGCCATAGGTTGTATATCTACTCAGTTACAGGGCTCAGTGTCAACTAGGTCTCCAAAGTGCCAGTTCCTATTGTAGTTTTCTGGGCAGGTAATTATATGTAAGATGTTCTAAATATATAAAATATATCACATATGGTTTTCTTCAAGAATTATCAATAGACATCAATGTGAAAGCCAGAGGGAAAACTTGTGGCATGACAGCTTCATGGTCTTGGGTTAGACACACACTTCTTAAACAAGACAGAAAAATCAAAGCCAGGTGTGGCTGCACATTCCTGTAATCCCAGCAACTGTGGAAGGCAGAAGCAGGAGGATCACAGATTTGAGCCCTACCTGGGCAATTTAGCAACTAAGGAAGATCTTGCCTCAAAATACAATACAATACAATACATGAACAAAGATTTGGGGATGTAGCTCTAGGGGAAGGCCCTGGGAAAATCCCCAGTACTGAAAAAAAAGAGACCAAAATAACTAATTTTTAATTTACTTATTGATAATATTTTAATTTGTATCCGCAATATTCACACTTGCTTTCTCCATGTCTCAACTTTATACTGCTCCATTTCTTCCTTTCATTGACTTATTTTGGATTAATAAAGCATTTAAAAATTACTCCAATTCCTTTTCAGTGACTCGGTAGTTAAACATTATCTCACTGGTCTTTTAGTTGTAATAGTTGTGAAGGCCATGTTCTGATTACTTTGGAGCCTAATATAAGTTAATACTTTTACTTCTTTATAGACATTTCATGGACCTTCTGCCACTTTAATTCCACTCACATACTATTTTATCATTATTCTAATGTTTTTAAATTTTTATGTATTTAGAAGTCCATAGTCGATTACCATTATTTATCTACGTACATACTGTATTTCTCGTTCTTCCTTCCATTCACCAATTTGTTTCATACATCAACTTGTACGTGTGTGTGTGTGCATGTGTGTGTGTGCACACGTGCATTTTCTGGGGTCATTCTGCTTATCCCTGAAGATCTCCATTCACAGAGATTGGCATCTATGAACCATAGCTCAGTGTTTGTTTATGTGAAGATGAGTTTGTTTAAACTTCATCTTTGTGTTTTGCACAGCATTTCAAAAATGTCATTTAATTTTCTTCTGAACTGCTTTTAAAATTTCTCTGTCTTTAGATTTTAGCAGTTTCATTGTGTAAGCTGAGTCTAACCTTTCTTTGTGTCTACCGTCTTTGGATTTTGCTGGTTCTCCTGAGTCTGTGTGTTTACATGTTGATATCTTTGATCAGTTTTAGAATGTGGTCAGCCATTATCTGTTCAATAACGATTCTGGCTCCTTATCCTCCTCTCCCTCTCCTAGAATTATGTCTATGCAGTCCCTTCAGCTCTTATTTTCCTTTTCTTTAGTTTCTATCATTTTTCTCTTATCCTTGCTTAGCCAATGCTTTATGCTTGGATGTCTACTAGTAATGTGAAATCTGAACTACTGCACACTGTGAGGTATGAATCGTCAAAGCCCTCGAGAGGAAATGCCACCTAAAATGTGGGACTCATCCCAATTAATTTTCCATCTTTCCAGGAAATAATTTTAGCTCCCCAATCTTTAGTTTCTTCCTTATCCTTTCTTTTCTTTCTCTTTTATCTTCCTCCTTTCCCTCTCTTTCTCTCTCTAAACACACACACACACACACACACTCACACACACAAACAGTTGGTTTGCTGCAAACTAATGGTTTTGTTTTGCTCAAAGGACAATACATGACCCATGAGTTTGTTAGACATGAACACTGCTGCCTGGTCTGATTCCACTTTACTGAATGAAAATCTTTGAGGATGTGGCCAAGAACACTGTATTTTAAATACACTTTCTGGGTGATTCTTCTGCATATCAGAGATAGAGCCACTGTCAGAAGGGGAAAATGGAATTCAAGATTTCATATTTTAATCCTGGTGCCATTATTAACATTTAAAATCCTTCTGTATTCACAGGGCGGAGGACAGTGCTGACCACCTTTTAGGTCCCTGGCTATCTGGTCTAATACTTGAGGTAATTTAATGAAATGCTTACCCTCGGTGACCATCCACTTCATGTATTAATATGACAACAATGTCAGTGCACCCTCCAAAACAGACAGAAGAAAGCTGGTCTTATCCACCATCTAGTCATAAGTTTCAGGTAACAATAATTCGGCAAGCAATAATTGATGCTCATAATGACGTCCCTGAGGCATTATCAAAATACAAGCTCACAAGTGTTGGAGATATGATACTCAGTTGTGTTTTGATCAGCCTTTGTGCTGGAAGTTTGTCTGATCTGTTGCTTTTGGAAAAGCTAAGGCTTCAGACTGAGAAAGGACAAAAGAATTTACATCTTCTACATCTTCTAGATTGGCCGTGTGTGTGTGTGTGTGTGTGTGTGTGTGTGTGTGTGTGTGTGTGAAATTTCTGGCAATAACATTAATGCAGTTGGAGAAAATATTTTGCTAAAAGTGCCACAGAGGTACAGTCAAATCCAAAGAGCATCCCAAGAAGAAAGAGACTGAGTGAGAGAGATGAACAACTTGAGGCAAAATGAAAGTGCTTATTAAAGAAAGGTGTCAGGGAAGGTGAAGCAATGACAACAGAAAATATAATGAAAACTAGAAGAGAGCAACAAACGCAATTGCATCTAACGGATAAAGTTAAAAAGTTTGTGCCAACAACACCACGATTGATCAGGAGAAGCCACTGGCCTGGAGAGGAGAACGTGAGGGGTCAGCCTACCTCCTCCAGCTGCACCAGCAGGGTGACGTTGTGGCCTTGTTCTGCTGTCAGCTTCCCGTCGGCAGTGATGATCCGCAGCCCTCGAGGGGCCTTGCCGGGACACTTCTGGGGTTTGGCAGTGTACTGCTCTCTCACTCCGTCTGTGCAGTTATTGGACACCACCTTTCTGTACCTAAGGGAGAAGAGCCCAGTTGTCAACAGCTCATTCTAACGCAGACCATTCCCAGATTCTGAGCTACACCCACGGCTTGGCCCAGGAACTACCACGAACCACCTGACCACCCACGCTCCACGTTCTGTGAGGATGAGGGCTGCTTCCCAGGAAGCTCCCAGCAGAGAGGCGGTCACTGGGGCAGCAGGTTGTGTCTGTACTTAGCGTTGTCACCGCAGACTTTTTATTCACCTAATCAATTCATCCAATCATCTTGGAGCCGTGGGAAATGCACAGAACTAGAACACAGGCTGTACCCCTCTGAGATAAACTCTAGTTGCAGAGATACAAATGAGCGATTTAGAAGATATTTAAGGATCAGACAGAGTAATACAGTTGTCTCCTCTTAGTCTCCAGGAATTGTTCCAAGATGCCCAGTAGATGCCTAAAACAGCTGACAGAACCAAAACCTATAAGCACTAAGCTTTTTACTATACATACATACCTACGATAAGGTTTAATAATAATAGAACAATTACAGCAATATACTGTAATAAATTTAGAGAATGTGACCTCTCTTCCACAGTATCTTATTGACCTCATCCTTCTTGTGATGATGAGCGAAGACACAATGTCTGTGTAAAGAGGTGAAACGCGGTGAATGGGATGGGCACTGGGATGCAAACTCAGGCAAGATCTCACCCTACTCTGGGGCACAATTTGAAACTTCTGAATATTTTATTTCTAGAATTGTCCACTCAATATTTTTAGTCTGCCTTCAAGATGGGGAGCTGAAACTACTGAATGTGGGAGTGTGGCTGGGGGATAAGCAATTGTGACAGCTGCATATATTGCAAGGGGATTTGCAATCCAGAGAAAAATAATTACTGATATGGTACTCAACATTATATCTACAGGACACTATTGTAATAGCACAGTGTCGTGAGAAAGAAGTTAGCTAAATTTGACACTTTCTGCTCATTTCATGAGAGGTTTTACTGATTAAACTACTGAAACCTGACGCAAAGGGGCTTCAGCTTTTTCAGATTGAGTAGATCTTTCCTACGCTTTTGATTACTTCTTATTTTATCTTTAATAGAAAAATGAGATAGCCTGCAGAATTATCCTATATAATTTACCAGATTCACAGAGAATTAGAATCTATGGTTTAAGGACAACCACAATTTAATAATTGTGAGGTTCAATATTTCCTACTCATCTTTTCACTATGGGTCCACAGTAACCCGTGTATGGATTTATATATTTGATTTCCCAAATCCACTTGCCTAGAGGTAATGTCCTCTTTCTCCAAAAATAAGACCTAGCTAGAAAATAATCAGCTTTGAAATCTAGAGATCAAAATTTCATGAACAAAACCTCAGTAGCCCGGGAACTAGCACAATCAACAAGTGGGATCTCTTCTTATTTAAAAGCTTCTGCACAGCAAGAAAAACCACCAGCAGTGTGAAGAGACAATCCACAATGTGGGAAAAAATCTTCACCTGCTGTTCTTCAGACAAAGGTCTACTATCTTGAATCTATAAAGAACTTTAAAAAGTCAGACCTCCCAAATTTAAAGGCCCAATCCAAAAATGGGCATCTGAAATGAACAGACATTTCTCAAACAAAGAAGTAGAAATGGCAAATAAACATGAAAAACTGTTCAAAATCACTGGTCATTTGAGAGATGCAAATGAAAACAAGGCTGAGATTCCACCTCACCCCAGAAAGAATGGCTGCTATCATGAAATCAACCTATAACAAATGCTGGCGGGGCTGTGGGGAAAGAGGAACCCTGCTCCACTGCTGGTGGGAGTGCAGACTGGTGCAACCACTGTGGAAATCAGTATGGAGATACCTCAAAGAACTAAGACTGGAAGTTCCATTTGACCCAGCTATTCCCCTGCTAGGGATCTTCCCCAAAAGAATTACAAGAATCATACTACAGTGATATATGTGCACCCATGTTCATAGCAGCACAGTTTGTGATAGGTAAAACTTGGAAACAGCCCAAATGCCCATCAACTGGAGACTGGATAAAGAAAATGTGGCTTTTTAAAAGAAAATGGAGTACTACTCAGCCATAAAGAATGAGAAATTAGAGACATTTATAGCTAAGTGGATGCACATTGAGGCTATACTCTTAAGTGCAATAAACAGGACACACATGTATAAACACTGAATAGTTTCTCTGGTGTGAGAAATTGAAAGTGTAAATAAGGACTAAAAGGTATAATAGATAATGTGAAATAGGAAGAAAAGGGGCAAAGGGGAAGGGGAAGTGGGAGGGCTAGGGGAAAGGAAAGAAGGGAATGGGGTTAATATGAGAAAAGAAAAAAATGGGAACAAAGTCTCTGTAAATAGGGAGGGATGGAGGGGTTGAAGGGAGGGCAGGGGAAAGGGGGCAAAATAAGAACCAAGGTGTATTATGTACAGGTGCACATCTCCAGTGATGAGTGTCATTATATTGTACACCTAAAATGTACCCCAAATGCATGCTCTCCTCACCTTCCCTGCTGTTGCTGTTCTCTTGCTCAGTGACCATTCTGTAAGGCAGGGAAGGCTGACTGGGGCTGGCATTTGTGATCTCTAGATTTCAAAGCTGAGTGCTTTCCAGTGAGGTCTTACTCTGGGGGAAATAGTGGCAGAGCAAAACCAGAGGCACTCAAAGCCCACTTCTGACTATTGTAGGCCAGAGGCTGGCAGAGGCTTTATGAAAGGGTCAGACACTAACTGTTTACTGTGTAGGCTGTTTAGTCTTTGTGGCAACTACTGAGCTCTGCAGCAATACCGTGAAAGTGAACACAGACAGTATGTAAAATAATGCGCAAAGCTAGCTCCCACTAAAACTTCATTCGCAACCCGGTCGGTGGAGTGGATCTGGTCTGCTGATAGGTTTCCAGTCCAGGACACAAGGCTCTCTTCTGATGCTGAGTGTCAGGACTGACTCCCTAAGAGCAGGGGAGAAAGTCACATGAGAGGGATCGTACATCTTCATCACTCACATTTCATATACCTCCCACGGGTGGGCAAGGATTGAGTGGATTAACACAGGTGATTTAAAACTGCTGCATTGCTTAGTAAGTGATGATGAAATGTTACTGGTTATTTTTATTTAATATTATCATCATGGCTCCTTCCTGTTTACAACCTTTCCTGGCTTTCACATGGCCTCGGGACAAGTTGCAAACCTCCTAATCCTTTATCTAAAGCCCTCCACAAACTAACTTCATTCTACTTTTCTAATGCCTTCTCCCCAAAAGCTCATTTTGCTGCAGCCAAATCTCTTTCTAATCCTCTTGAAAGTATTTTTCTTTTGCTCTTTCAGCTTCTATCTTCTTCTGTATGCACCATTAGCTGCCTAAAGCTTACCCTACCTAAACCTTATCCTGCCTTCTCTAAGACAATTTAGAGGAAGTTTAAAATGTTCTAGTCACTGTGCTAAGTACTCCACATAAATTATCTCATATATCTTCCAATAACTCTAATAATGAAGATACTGTTATTTTCCTCAATATACAGATGAAGAAATTGAGACTTTCGTCGTTAGAAATTGAGACTTACGTCGTTTAACTTATGTTAATTTGTTTTCTCATGGTCACGTGGCCAGGACCCTAGACCATGTGTCTCTCGAACACACTTGCTCTACTACTACACTGCACTGCCTCTGGAAATAAAGATCGCCTCTTCTCTGAACTTGGAGCAGACCCTCTCTGATTGACTTCATAGGAATTCTTGGCCTTGCACTGTTTTCTTCTGTGTGACTGTGAGAACCAGGGCTTCCTTGTGTGCAGATACACGAGGCTGCCAATCGGGATCAGAAGACCCACGCTGGCCTGATGGCTTTAGTTTAAATGCTGAATACCTGCAGGGAAGAGGCTACCATGCTCTGAGAACCCCAGACAGCCACCAAGCTCCGCTGGTCCTATCCTTAGTCCAACAGTTAAGAACTGAACCCATCAGGGTGTCAGTGTCTCCAGAACCATGTGCTCTACCAGGGAGGTTGCTGCCTGTTCTGATTGGTCATCATCATGTCTGAGCATTGTGAACATCATTCATTAAAAACCCTACAAGGTGTTTATGCTGATTCAAAGAAAATCAGGCCTATGATTGTGAGTGCATGCTGATTAAAAGAAAAAATAAGGGCTTGTGGGAGAAAGAAAAAGAAGTGCAAACACTGGAGAATGGTAGCATTCTGGTATCATCCAGAGTCGAAAAGAATGAGCTACACCACCATGCCGGGTAATCACGGTTTCACCGTGAGTTTAACCGTGCACTGGAAATGGCCCTCATGTTTCAGACAGAGGCGCTGTGCTGACTAAAGGTAGGCTGTGATTGCTGATCACTGGGCATCCAAGCACACCCGTGGCTCTGACCGGGTGGGCAGCATCACTGGAGCCAGCATGGCTTCAGAGCTGCGCTTTTGTTTGTCGCTGTTCTGACTAATTGTCACCCCAGGCTTTCCTGAATCCTGCAGCCACAGGGAGTTCTGCTTAGATCCAAAGCACAAATCTCCTCCCCTGGGATTTGGCCACAGAGAAGACTGTTGGTGATTTTTAAAAAGGCTCATTAAAAAGGATTCTGAAACCACTGTATTTCTAGGATGAAAATGGGATTGCATTAGCCCTACCAAACCTGTCCCTGAAATGCAGAAGAAAATTGTGCAGAAATACAGAGTTAATTTACTCAAGTAAGCACACACCTGCTTTTTGCATTACAGAACGGTTCTATTTTCATCCCAGCAGCTGTCCCTGGGTCTGAATTACGTAAATGAATAATGCATTTAATATGTTATTAAATGGGGCTTGCTACCTCTGTAACAACAAGGCGACTTATGATTATGTTGGGCCCAAGCTCTGAATATTGCCAGGATACATTTAGTTGGTAAAGTATTCTTCAATCTGCCAAGAAGAAAAGTGCTCTGTAATGGCAAGGGAGTCTTTGTACAATTACTGAAAAGGCAACATTCTGCAAATGTGGCTTTGATATTCCTTGCGGCTCATCAGTAGACGGCGCCTTAT